CTTCTCATACCAAAGAACCTTTCTAAGTTATTTTCCCCGTGGCTCCCAAGTTAGGAAAGGCTTATGCACTCATCAAGTTGATTGTATTAAACTATCAGTCTCCTCTTAAAAAAATACTCATGTTACCGAACATGCAATTAGATAAATGGAAGCATGAAAAGGAGTGTTAAAGTTTTCCTTCAGCAGCCTTATCATGAATAATTTGTACGGGAGCCTCTGGAGAATTTGAACTTGGCTCACGGACCTCCAAGTCTACTCATTCGGACACCAAGGAATCCGGACACTAACTGAGAACCTTTGTATTACTGCATGCGTGTCTCTGAGCTCTTAATAATGTCATTCTTTAATATCGTATCCAGTCACACCTATTCTTTATTCACTATTCATTTATATTCACCACTTATTCACTATTCATCTTTAATCCTTAGTTATTTATATATTATACTCATTTTCATTCACTAGTTATTTATATCAACCATTCATTTTTATTCACAAGTTATCTATATTTACTATTAATTCTTATTCACTAGTAATTTATATTTACTCTATTTTTTTCACGATTCGCATTCCTTTGTCCACGCAGGGAGAGTACTCCTTCCGAGGCATGACAGCGGACCGGTGGGACTGGTGCGGCCTCAAGGAATTCGAAAACGAGACGGGTTCTCACAACATCTCCATGGCGACCTACTGGAGCTGTAAGATTGCTCGAGTCCCGTTCTGTCTATGGATTAAGGCTTCCTGAAGTCCTTTTGCAATGGGTGATTTTAATTTTGCTATGAGAGAACAGAAATGGTTTTAATATTGATAACATGGCAGAGGTGAGAGTATTCGCTACGAAATGGGTTATAGCGGAAGATGAGAAGACAGTTTCGAAGTCCTCTCGGTCTATGCTTTCCCGACGATTTAAACTGCACTATTACAGCCGGTTTGTTAATATTGTGCTAGGTCCGACCAATGAATTTTCATAAATACAGATGTAGAAATAAAGGCATGTCTATATATCTGATAGATATGCCTATAACCATCTATTTGCCGGGTTGATATGCATGTCTAGACTGTTAAATATGCATTCACTTCTTTATTCATGCATGTCAAGTATACGAATATTCTTTGGGTCGGGCCTCGCTCAATTCTAACAAACCGGCCGTTAATCTCCATTCCGATTAATCTGCCAGCGTCGAAGTGGAGTATGCCCGTGATGCCCACGGCAGAAGCCAGCATCCCTTTGGGGTGGGAGGTGGAGGTGCACGAGCCGCAGGGGGGCGGATCCCACGGGTATTACACGGTGGAGACGCTTGTTCATAACATCATGGACTTCAGCCCCGGGGTGGTGGACTACGAAGAGTTCAGGGTCAGTTGTGTGTCTTTTTTCCCACTCATTTTGCATTTCCTTATTTAGTAACGGAATAAAGGACATTGATTTGATGTTCGTTTTGTTAGCATTATGCATCGCGTATCAGCTTCCACATCAGCGTGAAAATAATTGTGTACTTCACCATACCCAGATTCCTGAAGGTCTTTTCTGCGAGGGTATGGTGCCCCTCGAAGGACACCCCTTCCCGGACTTCTCAAAGGACAGGCTCTTCACCTTCAGCATGGAGATGAGGGACAGCAGAGTGAAGGACTTCACTTGGGCCGACGTAAGTGTGTTTTTTTTTTTTATCAACAGTGTCTTTCCAATTAAACACTAAATCAAAGCGTGCGTTAGGATTGTCAGTGATACTCTAACAAACAGTTGAATCTCAAAAAATGTTAAAAAGTAGATATGCTGTGATTGGTATATCAGTGTCCTATACACGTTTCTTTTGTGTGTGTTTTCTCTACTGGATCCGTTTGCTGAATGGATGGTTGACCTGACCAAATAAATAAGAAGACCTTGCATTTACAACATATATTCCTCACAGATCTAACCAGACGACCCTTCTTTTCCCCTATCAATAAATATACTTTCCCCCCTTTGCAACCGGCCGCTACAATTCCAAAGGAGTAAGACCTCGTATTTCGGTCATCCTAAAGACACTTGAGATCCGCAGGGCTGGTGCAAAGGAGTAAGATCTCGTATTTAAGTCCTCCTAAAGACACTTGAGAAGTCAAAGGAGTAAGATCTCGTATTTAAGTCCTCCTAAAGACACTTGAGATCCACAGGGCTGGTCAAAACGAATAAGATCTCGTATCCACGTCCTCCTAATGGCATTTGAGATCCGCAGGGCTGGTATGACTTCGAGAAACAGCTGTACCGAATCGACCACGAGATAATGAGCACGCCCAGGGAACGCATCACCGCCACGGAGGTTTTCGACTTCAATGACGGTGAGATTTGTGCAGCTTCATACCGCTAACGTGAAGGAAAGAGGGAGGAGAAAGGGTGATTGAAGTATGTGGAGATAGGAGTGGGAATGCGCAGAGGAATGGTTCGAAATGTGTAGGGAAACTAGCAGAAATATCTAAAGAAATACGGAATATGCAAAGAAATAAGTATAATTGCACACACACACAAATCAATGAAAATACACAAAGAACTAAGCAAATATACTCAAAGAACCAAGCCAAAGTATATAGAATCAAGCAAATATACACAACGAACGAAACAAACATACACAAAGAACTAAGCAAATATACGCAAAGAACTAACTAAATACACACAAACAACTAAGTAAACATACACGAAGACCTTTTCCCTCTCAACCAGCCATGAATGAACTAACCCCCCCCCCCCCCCCGGCAGGTCTGGCCTTCACCTTCGGTAAGAAGATCGCCAGATGTCGTATCACCATCGTCAACGACACCAGGACGGACTGGTCGGACATCACGGGCATCGGGCATCTTTGGGCGGATTCTCCCAACGCCTTCTTCGGCTCCGATCTCGTTAATTACACCTATTATGGCCGCAGGTAAGGCTAAAGGGGTTTGAGAAGGTGGGGGGTTGGGAGGGGTATGTGGTAGTGGGTAGGGGATATCGTGGCGTGTTCGGGTGGATCATATTTTTTCGGAAATGTTGGAAGTTTTTGTACTATATTTTCTTATTTTTTCACTTTTTCACTTCATAATGAAAGTTTTTGGACTGATTTTATGTTTTTCTAAGTCATCATTGGGACTGTTAAATGTTTTGACTACTTTTCGCTTTGGTAATGTCAGTATGTCTATTTATATGTGCCAATGATTTAGAATAACAAATGAGTAAATGAATGAATGAATCAATAAACAATAACTGAACGAACAAATGCACAAGTAAATACACAAAGAAAATAAGTAAATAAAAAAAAACAATCGAATAAATAAACAAGTAAACAGACAAGCAAATGAATAAATAGATAAATGCATACATAAACAATTTAATGCACAAATAAATAAACAAATAAACGCATAAACAAACAACTTGGCTTATAGATAACAAACAAATTAATAAACGAGTAGATAGACCAACAACCAAAAAAAGAAAGAAAAAAAATACATCCGTGACCCCTCTACCTCCTCCTCTTTTGGCGGCAGATTCGAACGCTACATGGAAGGCGACGAATGGCGGGCCTCGAGGTCGGACTGGCCACTCGACGTCACGGGCGGAAACAACCAAATGCTCTGGCAGTGGACCTTCGCCAACGTAAGTCCCTGCGATGTCTACATATTTAGACCTTGTTCGTGTTTGTGTGTGTTCATGCATGCGTGTTTCTGTGCGTTTACGCATGCTTGTGCGTGTGTGCGTTCATGCATGCATGTGCGTGAGTGCGATTATGCATGCGTGTGTGCGTGTGTGCGTTCATGTATACGTGTGCGTGTGTGATGTTTATGTATGCATGTGAGTGTACGATTATGCATGCATGTGCGTGAGTGCGATTATGCATGCGTGTGTGCGTTTGTACGTGCGTGTGTGCGTTTACGCATGCGTGTGCGTGTGTGCGTTCATGTATACGTGTGCGTGTGTGATGTTTATGTATGCATGTGCGTGTACGATTATGCATGCATGTGCGTGTGTGCGATTATGCATGCGTGTGCGTGTGTGCGTTCATGCGTGCTCGTTTAGATGTATGTGTATCTAAGCCATATACACACAATTATATTTCCGTCGCCATTACCTTTCCCGCCAGAAAAACGTGACGACGGTGACGAGTCTCGGCGACCACCTGTACGTGGAGCGGCAGGTCCCGATCGGCCTCAGCGTGACGGCGCTACACGTAAGTAAACACTCTGGGTGATTCGTAATCGGTAGGGATCTTGCAACAACGTAGCTATCAGCGAATTAAAACTAAATACTTCTATCGTATAGAAACAGCTAGCAACTAAAACATTACTTGCAACTTCGAAGAAAAAATCCTTTAAAATATGCCTGTAGCCCATCGTTCCCCCCCACCCTCAAGTGAAAATAAAAAAATAATATATATATATATATATATATATATATATAATATATATATATATATATATATATATATATATATATATATATGCGTGTGTGAACACACCCCACATATATTTTTACACACACACCCGTATCGTTATTTTAAATCGAAAGGAAAAATAAATAAAGAAAAAAACATATAAACCCGTAGTCCCTCGCCCGCTTCATAACCTTTTTATTTCTCCTCTCAGGACTTCCAGACAAGCTTTGGCCACGTAGCTAAGGGGTCGTCCTTCGAGTACCAGATCTATGACTTCAACCTCGAATCCAGTGCCAAGTTCGACCTCTACAGCGACGGCGGCGACTTCGACGTCTACAACTGTTACTCGGCCAACTGGAGGGATCATCTCAAGTTCAAACTCGATGGTGAGGGAGTTTAAGAGTTTAAGGCTGTTTATATTGTCTTCTGTGTTTGCTTGTTTAGATTGGGGGGGAATGATCAGAAAAAGGATGATTGTGATATTGATGATGTTTATAATAGGAGTAACGATGATAATCATCATAGTAACAATTTTGATAATAATAATGTTTATCACAATAATGATAATGATAATTACGTTTATGTAAAATAAAATTTGTGGTTGCACCCTGGAGAACATATACACACTTATATATACATATTTTTACAGTTATCAACAGTTTTTTATGACAACCAGTATACTGAAGCCGATAAGCACTAGGGTCTAATATAAAATAATTCAGATAAGCTCATGGGACACAGAACAACTTCCTCATCTTTTTGTCAGATTTCCTCGGCAGTAAAACCATTCAATAACCACTAGATAACATTTTTTCGTGGCCAAAAAATCGACCATCGACCCGAAGCAAAAAGGTAATACAATTGAAATATAAATGACGCGATGTACGCAGGCCCGAGGAATGCAGGCACAGGCTTCACAGACACAAAAAAGTGTATTTTGTCAAGGCTTTCGGTCATGAGTCATATCCGCGGAGCACGCTTTTGTGTTGCCTAAGCTACTGCCAAATGCATGATTTGTAGTCATGGAGAGACGCTTATAATCATGGAAGTTGCGATATTCATCCTCTCTTCGTATTTATAGACAATCGGTAGACGTGCGGTCTATATCTTATAGCTAAACAAGAATTTCCTGTTATCTTATAACCAAATATTTAACTACAGCAGTTTTGTCGGTGTTCTAAGCACTGTATGTGTTCGAAGTATTGCAAAGTATTTATTGACTTGGACTTCGGTTAGAGAGAAATGGGGTTATTAAGAGCTCCTGGAATCGCGCAATTGTCAGTGAATAGCGGCCGCCGTTTTCACTGATCGATGTGGCTTTTTTTTTGTCCACGTGACCCCGACACAGATAACCTGCAACACTGCAATAAGCCGCTAAGGTCGGGGTTATGACAGTTAAGAATCGACATAATTGTAAACACACGTCACGCATGCAGCTCTTCATTTTTTATTTCAGGAGTGCCCATCCAAGGCTTGTCTCGTTTCTCTGCCCTTGTATAACATGCCGCTAGTTTCATCGATCCTGACTCTGTATGTGGCATTCCATTGTTCATCTTACCTGGGTTGAAGCTCAGCTGATAATCTATACTGACAGGTGGTATTTATTGTTGCCAAGAACGTTTGTATTAGCTGGATCACTCGATGGCGTCCCGTTGACTATCTGTACCATGGTATTGTTTGCATAACAATTGAGCTGTGTACGTCACGGTCACATTACTTTCCGAAACTGTGTGTATATACGTTGTATTCCTGGAATTCTTTGTTTAATGGCCCTTGTGCAGAGCCACTTTTTCTGTCACGCGCTGACCTTGAGCGTGAATGTTTCCATTAGTTTTGCCCTTCCTGCGCCGCCTGCGTTCGAGTACGCGTGTATTGACAACGAACCATACAGGGGCTAGAAGTTAACGCGTAGAAGCAGGGTCTGATATTATGGTTTTCCATTTATTTATATATTTATTCATTTATTATTATATTATTATTTATTGTTATTATTATTATTATGTCTATTATTATTATTATCATTATTAATGTTAATATCAGACTACACGATAGACAGATAAAATGATTTTAATACTGTGAAACAGGCTGGTCGGAAGATAAGATACACGGGTTATACGAAAGACTTTATAATTTAAACAGTTTGTTGGTTATTCCTTATTTTTTCTTGTTATTCACTCAATAAAAGTTTTAAGGGGAATAAATGGAATAAATAGATACGCTACGGTCTTACAAACATTTAATTCCAGCTGCAATACAAATCTTCACCACCATTAATTTGGAGAAAAAAAATTAAAAACGCGCCCGCAAGTAGCCCTTCCTTTTTATCAGAAGTGCCTATTTAACATTTCCTTATGGTCTCTATTGAAGACGACCATAACCCATGAAAACAAAATATGATGCTGTAAATATCCTCAACAGTCTCATCCTGGCCCGAAATCGTGAATACCGCCCTTCTGACGTCGTCGAGGTTCAACGAGTACTGGCAAGTCCTCCTGGCGAAGACCGGCACCGTCTCCACACTCAGGATCACGAGGGTTAAGGTAAGGAAGAGGCCAGGGGGTTGTTTGCCATTTCACACTCAGGACCAAGAGGGTTAAGGTAATGCTGCGTTCGGAACTCATCGTCTTGCTCGTCCAGACAACTTGTCCAGGTCCAGCAGGGCAAGTGGGTCGCGTTCGGAACCTCCAAGACCCTTCTGCCCAGAATGCAACCGGCTCGAATGTAAACATTCACTTTTTTTTTTTTTTTTATCCTACCGGTGTCTTTATTTTACACGCTGCATAGGTTTAGTAACTCCTTTGACACATTTAACTTACCTGCATACAAACACAAAAATATCCTTTGATAACACCAATAAAGGGCCATAAGATTACCCATCAATATCTTTTGGTTACCTACAACTGTCAATGTTTACATACAAAAGCTATTGTGACACCATCTCGTCCAGCTCGCCCACCTTCGCAAGAGGACCGACTGGACGAGATGGACAACTTGTCGGGACGAGATAGTAGAGGTTCCGAACGGTCAAAACATCTCGTCCAACTGGTCTGGACGAGCAGTTCCGAACGCAGCATAAGGGAACAAACCTAACCTAACAAACTAAAGGGGTTGTTTACCATAGCTTACCTAGGACCACGAGTGTTAAGGTATGGCCAAGGGGTTGTTTAAGATTCCACACTTAGGGCAAGGGGTTAAGTTAAGGGAAAGGCAAAGGGGTTTGCCATTCCACACTTGGGACCACGAGAGTTAGGTAAGGAAAAGGCCAAGGAGTTGCTTGTCATTCCACACTTAAGACAAAGGGATAAGGTAAGGGAAAGGCAAAGGGGTTGTTTGGCATGGGATGATTTTGTTGCAGATAAGGTATACTGCAGTTCCTCGTTTTCGTTATCAGATATTCGACTCGGATAACATGCATTGCACTTTTTTTTTTTTTTTGTTATCTGATGATATCTAGTTATTATATTTCGTTGTCTGATCTGTGAATGGATGATATCACTTTTATTCCGAATGATTTTTTATCTCTTCATTCACTTCCCGTCATGTGATAAGTGATGATAGTGTCAAAGTAGCATATCTTTGTATTTCTTTTATTATATCTTATCGTATGCTTTTCAGTGCTATTGTGATCGAGCTTATACTCATCGTATTAATGTTACGACAACTAAAGCCCCAGTCCACTTATCTACCACGTCAGCCTTCACTTCACTCATCTCAGATATTCATCTCACCACTTACCACCACTTCCTTCCTTTCCTACTTCATTCCTGACACTACTCAATACCTGATGCCACTCACAAACTCCACTTACCCCTTTGCCATCAATACCCCACTCCAGCCAACCTTAAATCTATTACCTATTCCACACACCATCTCGCTCCACTCAACTGCCACACCACTCGCTCCACTCACCCCATTCACGACCTCTCGCCACCTCACATCCCTCACCATCTCTCACACCCTCTCTCACCCCTAACCCCATTTCTTCACCCACAGTCTCACTACCTCACACCACTCGCAACTCCCACGGTCTCTCCACTCACAGCCTCCCGCTACACACCACCTTACTACCTCACAAAACTTCCCCCACCACTCCACTCACCACCTCACAACTCACAACCACTCGCAACCTCATACCACATCTCCAGTCACCACTTCCCACCTCACACTGCCTCTTACACGCACTCCTCTCCACCTCCCACTCACCTCCTTCCACTCTCACTACTCGCCATCTAGTACCTTCCACCCCTCAACACTCACCACTTAGTACCTTCCACCTTCCACCTCTCACTTCTCTCCACTCTCGCCCCCAGACGATCGTAGAGGAATCGAACGAGGTCTGGATCGAGTTCGTCCTCCTGTACCGCCACCCCGAGATCGGCGAACTGGACAGCGAACTCTACTCCCACCTCACGCCCGGTTTTACAGCTCACACCCTCATTGCAACGGCTATCAACAACGGAGAGATCTCGTTCGGTGGTCAAAAGCCCGGTGGTGGCGTGAGTTTCGTTTTCTTCGTGTTATTTAATCGTATTCAGTTATTATAAGGGACTTATTTTTATCTGATGTGGCTGTGTTGTTTCTGTCTCATTCATTTCGTTATGTCATGGATTTTTTTCTTTTTTTTCTTTTGTCTCTGTCTCTGTCCCCCCCCCCCTCCTCTCTCTCTCTCTCTCTCTCTCTCTCTCTCTCTCTCTCTCTCTCTCTCTCTCTCTCTCTCCTCTCTCTCTCTCTCTCTCTCTCTCTCTGAAATTTCTTTCTTTTTATTTCCATAAAATTACGTGCATTTCCATCTTATTCTTTTTTGGCTTTCCAAAGGTACGTGTGCCCATTAAGTGTAGTCGGTGAAGTTTAACCCACCTGAGAATTCCAGTGCTAGTCACACATTGATTTACCCGAAGGATAATTAACCTTGCAGTTTCTATTGCACGTTGAAAGTCTTATCGCCGCTTCACAAGACGATACTCAGTTGTGTCTTCGTAATCACAATGCCACAGAGCACATTGTACATTGTCTACTGTGTGTTTATATAGAGTGAGAGTGAGAGGGAAAAGGAGAGGAAGATGAAGAGTGAGAGGGAAAGGGAAAGAGAGAGGAAGATGAAGAGTGATAAGGAAAAGGAAAGAGAGGGGAAGATGAGACAGAGAGGGAAAGGGAGAGGAAGATGAAGAGTGAGAGGGAAAGGGAAAGAGAGAGGAAGATGAAGAGTGAGAGTGAAAGGGAAAGAGAGAAGAATATGAAGAATGAGAGGGAGAGGAAGATGAAGAGTTATAGGGAAAGGGATAGGGAGAGGAAGATGAAGAAGGAAAGGGAGAGGGATAGGTTAACGGAGGGAGAAAGAGGACAGCCAATGAAAGGTCGAGGTAGATAGATAGGTAGGTAGACAGATAGAGGAAGAGAGCGGGAGAGGGAAAGGGATCGGGAGAGAGCGGGAGAGGGAAAAGGAAAGGGATAGGGATAGGGAGAGAGAGAGAGAGAGACCGAAACTCACCGAGAGAAATGAGAGACAGAGAACAGCGCAAAAGCATCCTTTCCAAATGTATCCTCTACGTCCCCTACTTCAGGAATTCTCTTTGGAGGCCGTCAGAGGATCCTTAGCCCTGGTGGTAGACGCCGACTGCACTACGACCACAGCCCAGCCTCCTACCACACACCACACAGGACCCACTAAGTCCACGCCAAGCACGACGACGACGACGACCACCACCACCACCACCACCACCACCACCACCACAACGACGACCAAGAAACCTGGAACGGGAACTGCCTCGAATGGACGTGGGTGTTTCGCGTCGCTCGAAGCGTTGTCGAACTCGTGCTGTTATGAATCTCAAATTTCATGATTTAATTGATGATTGACATTATAATTGACATTAGTATTGTGGCTATGTATAACTCCATTATTCAATTGATGATTGACATTAGTATTGTGTCGCTGTATAACTGTTAATGGGGACAGAGATTTCACTAGTCGATATTGTTAGAAATGAATCGCGGATAACAAATGAATCACAGCATCCACTACGAGACCCCATTGGATCTCCGGTCACTACATTCACACACAAAAGTTTCACAGTTGATACGGACACCTCACTCGTGATATTCCCTTATAAGAGTCTTTACCATTAAGGATGACGTGGAATCGGACGGAGCTGTGAACGAACAGTGAATTCATCGGATCTCTACTTTGCACATTTCCCCCGAGTACCTTTACATAGATAGTTTAGTTAGATGAATTATCCGTAATATGTGTGATTATGTATCAGTGATCACACGTTGACCCTAGGGATTATGTGATCAGTTCACGTTGACCCTAGGGATTATGTGATCAGTTCACCTTGACCCTAGGGATTATGTGATCAGTTCACCTTGACCCAGGATTATGTGATCAGTTCACCTTGACCCTAGGGATTATGTGATCAGTTCACCTTGACCCTAGGGATTATGTGATCAGTTCACGTTGACCCTAGGGATTATGTGATCAGTTCACGTTGACAACAGTTCACCGTTGACCCTAGGCATCAGCATGATCAGTACACGTTGACCCTTCCCGATCGCAAAACAAAATCCATCTGCCCTAATTCCCAGACTTCCCTAAAATACCCCCAAATTCCCATCACTGGCATCTAAACTGGCTGTAGTCGAAACACGTCATCTTAACACGCTTATTCGAAAAGAGGGAATCGAGAGGGCAAGTATACGCCAAGCACACTCACAGCTTGACAGAAACTAATAACCAAAACTAATCCACAACTGAAACATACACAAAATAACGCCCTTCAAGATATACACAAGTACATTACAGTGTACGGCCGTGAATACTAATTGAAACCATGAGCTGATGAATTGCAGGATAAAAAATGATGAATGTATAAAAGCAAAACATGTAGTTAATATTGAGTAAACCCTTTGCTCGGTACATTTACTTTCACTGCTTATATCTATTAACTTCATATCACTTCACAGAGACAGAACCCTCGGTAACTGGCAGTGCAACCACTCCTTATGTGCCACCTGGAGACAACGTCATATATACCTCAGGTAAGCGAGATAGAGAGAGAGAGAGAGAGAGAAGAAAATGAATAGAGAAGAGAAGATAGAGAGATGGAGAGATTGAGAGACGAACAGAGAATAGACAGAGAAGAAGAGAGAACGAGAAAGAGTCTGGCAAGAGAAATGAAGACGAGGGGACAGTCGAACCTCCAATACAGATTTCAGCACATGTTTGCTAAGCGCCATAAATCCACCTTTACTATCCTGCGGCTATCGAACCTCCCAACCATAAATCTGAGATGATTCATGCCCTCCGACACACACCACCTCCTCCTTTGATCCCCTCCCACCCCCACTCCCCTGACCCCCCCTTCTCTTCCACCACCTACTCCTCCATCCGTCCCTTCTTGCCACGCCCTCCACCACTCCTCCTTACTCCTACCCCTCTTCTCTTTCTCCACTCCCTCGATTTCACTTTCTTCCTCCTCCTTTAACCTTCTCTTCCTCCTCTCTTCATGTCCTCTTCCTCCCTGCCTCCCTCCTGCTCCTCCTTCTCCATCGCCTCCTCCTCCACACATCTCTCCCTCTCCTCTCATCCTGATTTCTCTCTGCTCCTCCTCCTCTCCACGCCCGCCCATTCTCTCCTCTCCATCTTTTCCAACTCTTCTTCACCTCCCCTTCTCCTTCCACTCCTCTTCTTCCTTCCTTCTTCCTCCTATTCCAAACTCCATTGCCTTTACGCCCACCTCCACCCTCCTCCTCCTCTCTCCCTTCTTCTTCAGGCGACCTCGTCGCGGGCGTGGGCGTGGGGCTCTCTGTGGTCGGGACTGGCTTTCGCGCAAGCAGGAGAACGTTCCTGGTGGTCGTCAAGCGCCTCCACGTCACCCTCATGAACTGCTGCAAAAACTAGAAGTTACGGGAATCGGACGCGTTGTGTTTCGGCGCGTTCGTTTCTGATACGTGATTTTTTTTATTTATTTGTTCTCGGAGTTTGTGTTGTAAATGAAGATATAATATTTTTTTGTGTTTTGGTGATTGTGTTTATTTCGTGTTTTATATAGATTGTAATCTGGTGGAATAAATAGTATTGTTAGCTTGATCATCAGGTATGTTATTTCATCTCCTCATGTCCGTATAGTATGATGAATTCTGATTGCCAGCTTGTATTATACTCGTTTATACATATGACATGCAGACTATCTAGGACACATGACACAAACACATACCCACAAACACATGCACACACACATATATATATATATATATATCTATATATATATATATATATATAATATATATATATATGTGTGTGTGTGTGTGTGTGTGTGTGTGTAATGTAGATTTATATAGATATATAGCATATATATATATCGATATGATTTATACATACACATTGTGTATATATATACACACGCACGCACATGAGCGTCAACGAAATATCGACGATAGCTCGTAAACTCTCGCTTTTGCAAGATTCACTGAAAGGAATTAAGTACTGTCATTGTTTACCAGAGAGTTTATTCCTTGTCGCTCTTATGAATAAACGCAACGCTGTATAATTCAGTGATACAAGGTGCCAGTCCCATGCGGTCCAGACAACCCAAAGGCACTGAATTGCGATATCTGACACAACGCAATAGCATCATTTATCACAAGACATAAACATCAAACTCGACGTGTAAAAGAATTGCCAACTTGTTCTAAGTCTATGGTTTCTTTCTCCTAAGTTCATTATCCTTCTCTCCTTTGAAGTATCCTTATCCTAAAAAGGATCTTTGGGGGAGTGTTTATATCATTGTTTTTCTTTTCTGGCGATGCAAGGAGTCTATGATTCTTATTTATTTACATGTGTGGCATTCCCGATGCGTTGATTAATCACTTCATTTTCTATTTTTGTTGTTAGGATTGTTAACGGTTTTTGCGTCACTCCAAACTGAAATATTCTAATCTAAATCATATCCGAAGTGTTTCATGGAGAATTAGTAAGAAACAATAACATTATTCAGGCTCTGGTGTTGGTGGAAATACTTTATACTCTTCGCATGTGTGACTAATGGCAGACAGAGCGAGCACCATCTTGTAAAATATTCAGTAGATGCCATTACAAGAATCCATGACCAGGTGCCGTCCTGTTGCGTCTTCAACCTCACCTTCAGTACAAGTGCATTACTGCGTTTCTATTCCTTCATGCAATCAAAGGTCACCAGAACCTGACAATCACACGAAAGATCGACATGCAAGCACACGTACGCATGTACACATATCGACACGCACACAACTCGAGACGCGCGCAATGCATACGAACGCGCTTTCCTGGAAGGGTTTAAGCGCCCGAGCATGAAAGTCGCTCTACCAAGAACTGGGCGTGCGTCTGCTTTCACATCGCAAGCTAATGAGAGGAGAAATTTTCCATGCACTGGCGACAAGCATGATGATGATTTTGGATTTCTTTTCGGCTTGGCGAGGGGCGCCCTTTGTGGATGGAGCCGCTCGGAAATGTGTGTGTATTAGAATGGTTTGTTCTATTTTTTAAATAGATTCTTGTAGGTCTGGTGCGGCCATGTTCTGAATGGAAGAAGCCAGTATGTTTATTATTTTTTCAAGGACTATGTAAGTTCATATATAATGAAACATTGAAAAAAATATATATATTGATATCATGTACTGACAATATATAATTTCTATAGATATAATTACCCGTATAATGAACAGATCAGTAATGCCCTGGTAACCCATTAAGCAGTTATACTGAACACCTTTTTATGTCATTAAGTTCATTTATTATTCATAACAAAATGATTGGAAAATAATTCGCTTGGGAAATGATATGAATAATAGACCCAGTCAGCTGATATCACACTGGATCATCATCGAGATAAACCGATTCGATATCACATTTTCCATCTATCGCCATTGCTCTTAGCGGTGGCATAATTTTCGCATTCGTATGGAACTTTACAACTTCTAGAATATTCTAGCAGCTCGTAGTGGAAAGCTTAGGTTGCTTGAGAGTACAGTCCCGTTACTGAGTACAAGCAACACGGTCGATCGATCATAACGTTAATAATATCTCCACTGCGAACCTGACTGCATGACGTACGAAATTAACCTTTAAAAATAACCTTTATATGCCCCCGTAGTTATATAACACGTCGCAGGTATATGACCTTTCCGGCAAGAGGAGAACAGTCTGGAGGGACAGACTTCGTGGCTCTCCTTCGTGTTTCGTCAGGCGAGGTCAGTGACACCTTCGTAAGCAAGAATTGATTTTACTGTTTTTTTATTTCTTTTTTTTTTGTTATCAAGGCTTATCTCTTAGCGTCATCGTTTCTAGGGGATTCTTATCTCCTTTATTATCTTTCATCATGTCGTCTTTGTTTATTTTTGTTTGTGTTTGCTTGATCATATCTGTCCAGTTTATCCTTTGTATTGGTTTAGTATCCTCTCTCATTACATTATATCAAGAAGACTTAGATTACGATGTAGGCTCTGGTAGAGTCTGGCGAAGCTAATGAATAAACCAACGCCACTTGGCCTCCTTAACGGGCAAATGAACCAGCTGTGTGAGGTTGAAGAGGCAGGTCGTCGTGGGTTTTGTTACCTGGCCTCCAGCTGTTCAGTACAATCAGAAAAATAATCTTTGGTTTAGCTAAAAGGTCTATTAATATCAATTACTACGGATTAATATCAATATCAGTGAGCTTCATCGCAATCCGTAATGGGAGAAATAAAGATACCGGAATGCTTGGCAAATAACTAGCGTCTGCGGTGCCTCCGTCTGCTAATAGAGACAAACCCAGTTAAAGTCACGCCGCCTAATCACCCCATCGGCCGCTGGCGTTCACACAAGGCGGCGACTGCGATTAAGTATCGATAACCGATAACTGGCATCATCAGAGCGGAAAGCCCCGTGTCAATCGGCCTAATCGGTGGCCGCGAAATCGGCGTGGTTTGGGACGGGCAAGTAATCGATGACGTCAGGCAGGTTGCGAGCACACCTGGGGACAGAGCCGCTCTTTGCCTTGAATCATTAAAAGGAATTTGGGCGCCGTAGATTAGCCCATTGATTCATGGGGGCCTTCGACGCGTTCGAATGAGGTTGCGAATGCGGGAGCGATGTTTTTACAAGCAGGAGGGTGGAGCATGGAGGAGCATGGTGGGTGGAGCATGCCACTCACGTAGATTGTTCTTGTTATCTACATACAGCATACAGACATATAGTAGGACTGAGACCCCGATATGTCTGTTTTTTTTTTCTTCTAAATGTTCAGACTCATTCGGTAATAAGACTGACGCAAGCAACAGACGCAGTCCCAAGCAGCAACGCAGAAAACGCAGCCGTGTCACCCTCAGGAGCCAGCAAAGGTCAGGCGTGAATTCCTCGACGTCGAAGAGCATCGATAACGTGCATGTGCGCCCGATCCAGCAGTCATACCGAGGCCACGATGGGGTATCGAGTAGGGCCATACTACTCAATAGGGGCTATGAGCGTATGAGGGAAAGGAGGAATTTCAGTAACAAAAGGGGAAGGGGGAAAGGGGGAGGGAAGAAGCAGGGAAGAAGGATAAGGAAACGCGGAAAAAGGGTCAAACCGGTGGAGAGGGAAAGGGGCTGCAAGGCGAGAGGTCGTGCGAGGTTGCAACATAGTAAAATGCAACTGATAGTCAGACTCTAAGGGGAAACGAACATAAAAGAGAAAATGAAGGCAATAAAGGGACAAAAGATCGAAAAAGGGACAACAGCAACAAAAAAGAAGTAAAAAATGGTCATAGAACACCGTGATAGGTGGTTTTGAAACGACAGCGGCACCTACACCACGACAAACAGACATACAGCCACACACACACACACAGTCCCAGCACGGCAGTCGTCCACGCAAGACCAATATCACGTCAGTCTCTGCGCGAGCTTTACGTGACCTCTTCCTCCCCTTCCTCAGGCAACAGAGAAAAACCCTCCAGTTCGACCCTCACTCCTGGTGCAATGAGGGCCTTCGGAAATGAGGAGGAAGTGAGGCAGATGTGACATAATCAGGGGGGGGGGAGTAGTACACTGTGAGGTGGTGGTGCCGACCGTGCTGTGTTGTGTGGGTAACCCGGGCTACTGTACCTGTATTGGCTTTCTCGTTCTCACTCCCGTGGTAAACTCCGTGACAGACCTCGCGTTCGCCTAAGAAAGGTCGTATAAAGTGTGCTTGTAACCGGATTATAAAACTGAAGAAGAATGAAGAGCGAGACATTGTTTTTGGCCGGTAATGTTGTTCAAAGGTGGAAAAAAGTGGTGACAACTATTGCTGTGAAAAGGTTTGTTGACAAAGAGTGCCAATAAGACAAAGCTGTCCTGGGGTTGGTGTGCTAAGGAATGTGGTGTTTCAGTGACAATGTGAAGTTTAGTGTTTTTGCTTTTCTTTTCTTATTTGATTGTCCTCTCTGATATTTTTTACTCATCTTCTCTCTTATCAGTACGCCTATTTCATTCATACCTTTCAGTTATCTTGTGTTCAACAGTTATTTCTTTCCCTTTCCCAACCCCGTTCACTTTCTTCAACATATTCACCAATACTGATTCCCTTCGTCATGTTATCCCTTCGCACTAACCTTGTTTTCTGCGCATGTTATAATCCTTGCTCATTATCCATCCTTATATCCACTTGGCAACGCAATATCCTTCTACATAATCGGCTTCCCACATTTATCCGTCTATATATATCAAATCAGAATAAACTAGTCACATCCGCTTCGTGACCTTAAAAAAGATATTGAATGGAGCTACACATCGACTACAAGTTTCAATGTACTGAATATGTTATTATGACAGCACACGCACTAAGTTCCGGAATTCGTGACAGAAGCATTGCCGAAAAAAAAATCTTGCCACACTATGGAAACATAACACGCAATTTCTTGGCCAATTAGTGTCATAGATCTAGCATTAAATTAGATAACATATTTTTTTTAGCCAATTAGCGCCATCAATGTAACGTTAAACTAAAACATATTTTTTGGGTCAATTAGCGAAATATATGTAATATTAAAACGAAAAACAAGATTATGACATAGACGTGTGAAATGACATTACATAACACGAGACATGATCATTCCTAGTCCTTTGAAGTGATAAGGATAGATTTAACAGCCGAGTTCGCGCGCCAAACCTCTCCCGGCTTTGGTGTCGTGTGTAAAGGCCGTTATTTTGTCTCTGGGCTTGGTTGCTGCGAGACAGTTAATGATAGACCTATCAACCGGGAGATTACCCTCGTGATCGGCCATTTCGGTTATTTTGTCTTTCATTTTAATGTTCATTTTCCCCTCAAGAACAGCGTGCTATTCTTGTAGAGGCCGAATGCAAATTAAGTTCTTTTTGTGTACTCTGGAGGTTATACAAGGTTTTACAAAAGATCGACATGAAAGGAAGAGCACTTTACAAAAGGAAATAACTTTTTTCGATTGATAACAAGGATAATAATTGCAACTAGCAACCATTGCGCAGTTTTGCGGCCGAGCAAAATACAAGGCGAGTAGTGTCCCTCGGGTATAAATTATCCTTCAAGAATCTTTAGCAAGTAATTAACCGGTAATTCCTAATTTCACGATACTTTACGAGTTTTTCGACATGTTTTATATATGCGTGATGACCGTGAATGAGATAATGACAGGTAATAGTGACAGGTGACGTAGTAACGGGGTTTGGCTAGGTGGGGGTCACGGGAGAGGGGGTGAAGGATGAAATGAGAGAAAATAATGGGAATGACTAATGCTACAAGGGCAGAGAGGCCGAGTAACCTCATTTCTCTATGGTAATTACGGTAATTTTGTAATTCTAGATGTTTAACCTTAATTTGCTCTGATATCCTCGGTTATATCCTTTCGGCCCGGCTTCCAGCGCTTTCAATATGGTAAAACCAATTCATAGAATACTATTATCACTTTATATCTTTTATAATCGTCCTATTTCATAATATTGAATCGGTTTTTTGCGTCTCATTCTTTACATTTTCTGACTTCTTAGTTTCTACGCATTCCTTTTATCCTGCCTCAAGCTTACCCATTTTACTTTATTGATCTATTTATCCATTTTATCCACTTTCCATCCTCTTTTATTTTCTCAATTCCCCCTCTTCAAACCTTCACTCTTTTTACGTCGTCCCACTTTTATCGTGTTTAATTCTTACATTTTCCCTTCTCTTACAAGCTGTTTACGGATATAAATTTTCCTTCCTCTTTGTCCGTCGAATTTTTGTCAATATTATACATACACGGTCATACGCATGTATTCATACAGCATACACTCACGCATGCATTCATATATCACAGACACGTAAATCGATACAGTTCATATTAAGAGCAGTGTGATATGCTGTTTATTTTCGTTTACATATATATATATTAAAAGCATTCTCTCCTTTTTGAAAAATAAACAATAACAAAGTATGAGATACAATATATACGTTTTCTTCGTGATAACAATAAGACTACTGAATTTTTAAGGATATGAAAGCAAACTGTTTATTCACGGGGAAATTATATTTCTCGGTCGAAAGCACTCACGCCACATGGACACATATAATTTACGGACGCCATCATAATGCACATACTGTAAAATATAGCTACACGCTCAAACACACACGCACATGGCACATTTATAACCATAAAGAATCATCCACAACATCAATACATGATTCTAGTTGTAGTGGAAAGTGCCATATTTTTTCTATAATTTCAGGTGAAAGCAGAGAAAAGAGAAATGGCGAAGGGGCAGTTTACGTGAAATGAGTCCAAATGGCTAGTCAATACGCAAGTTCATATCGACGCTGACAATACTAATCGATGAACCACGCTGGTGTTTGACGTGGAGAAGTGGAGGGAAGTGGAGGGCGGGGGAAGAAAATCAAGGGTTTGTGAATAATTTTTTTTTTTTTTTTTTTTTTTTTTTTTTTTTTTTTTTGAGACTGTAGTGGATCAGAAAAGGTGATATTTATGCCAAATCACTGGAAAGGAAAATGGAAAATTACAAGTGATAGAGATTTCCTAAGAAAACTCGTTTCGCTGAGGGCCGCGGTCGCCATGGGCTGCGGGGTGTCCGTTTAGCTCGTTCGATGGAAATCCAGCGAGCGATGGTTCCCCCCGCAGGCGGCGACGGCAGAGGAGGCGCCCCCAGAATCGAGGTGGAGCGCGTCGCGGGCGGCGGCGAGGGCGGCAGCGGATCCAACGGCACCAGCGGTAGGGACTCCGTGTCCGACCTGACGAAGCGCCGCCACGCCAACGACCCCGCCATGATGAGGGAGCTGAAACGCTACCAGAACATCATGCTCCTCACGCTGCTCCCTTCTATCACCGGCGAGGCCGAGCACGCCCACCAGCACGCCCATCGACACCAGGACACGAATGGCGACGCCTCCCAGCGACGCACGTGGTTTGGAGACACCGGCCACGCAGCCGGCAGGAGCCTCCTCCCTCGGCCCGAGGCGACGGACGGCTTCCCCGGCGTGGCCCTTCAGCCCCAGACCACCGCCCGGCGCAGCCCGCAGAAGGTGAAGTCGGCGGAAAGCCAGAACGCTTCGGACCGAGCGGAGATGTCCGGCGCCCAGCCCTCGGGGTCCGCCAGCGCTGGCACGAGGCTTCCCATGACAGTCCACAA